ATGTGTGGTGTGTGAACATGTTTGCTGGTTCAGTGCAGGGAGAGAAAGTATGATAATACAAAAGAGTGATGTGGGCTTTGCTCTTTGAACAGCAGACATATTGACACTGGAGGACAAACCTGCATTTTGGTGTTGGCGAGGACGTTCCTGTATGGAAATTGTAGAATTTGCATCAGAGCGTTTTTAGGTTACTGTGGTCCAGCTTTTAATTTAAGCTCCCTGTGTTAATCTCTCATCAGGAGTTATAATACATGCTATATAAATAGCATCTGGCATACTTGAAGTGCTTCACAAACATTAACACCATGTCCCTGTGTTGGAGGTGCTACTTAAAGACTTTTTCTAGTGCAAGACACTTTATCCTTCCTACTAAGTCAGGAAATTAGGTTTGTAGTCACACTGGGAATATATTATTCCAACTTCAATTTATTCCTAGTAGCACATCAGCTTTTTTAATTTACAAGTAAGCAATTAATTTTCACTCATTTACAGAAGCACAAGATATTATTGATACATACTGGGAGAGCCTAGGGTATCCTGTGCCTTTTAGCTTTTCTCTGGCCTGTTTTGATTTTTCAGCAGCCTTCTAAATACATTGTATTGTAAATTACATTTTTTTGCACATTCTCCTAATTTAGGACAAACATGAATCTCTTTTTCAAGTTAGCTGTGTTGAATATCTGTGGGGTTTTTAGACAAATTAGTAAAAAATAGTGTCATCCAGTTTTTTAGCTATTGAAAACGCTTATTTTTCTTCTCTCTGGGTTAGAGGAAAGACATGGTGACCTATCACTTGCCTATTATTGACAGGAGATTCCTCTGAGGGCTTTCCATCTTCTTTTGCTCAGCAGTACTAGCCTATTTTATGTTTAGGATGCTAGCTCTGGTAACCTAGTTGGAGTTAATGTGATTACAGTAAACAGCATTCAACTGGCATTTGATTGTGTGACTTCCTTACAGTTGTAGGGTACTTATGCAAATGAAAACAGATGCAGGAAAATTGAGTATTTCTAGCTATGATTAATTTGAGGTTGTAAATTATTAATTCAGATTAAAATTTTGATGTTCTCTACCTGTTCTTTTTTCCACTCAGTAATGTATTTGAGGAGCTTCCTGAGTTCTTAAAAGGCTGGTTGGAGTAGGATTTGGGGAGATTTCAGATGTTTTTGGCTGTGCCACTGTGAAAAGATTGTTGTGATGTATCTCAGCAGGATGTCTTAGTCACTATTGTGCAGTGGTTAAGCAGTTAAATTGTTTGTCTGGAAACTTCTGATTAAGCATTCTGGTCACTGCCAGGAGGAGCATCAGGCATGCTTCTGGCAACTTGCAACCCTAAAAGACAGAGAAGCTGTCAGCTGTCCTGGAGTGATGGCTGTGGCTTTGTCTGGCACTCCAAGCAGCCCCACCAGGTCTCTGCAGGCTGCCCAGAACCCGAGGAGGCTCTGTGTGTTGTTTACTACCTGATCAGAGTTAAATACAGGGACTCTGTTATGGCTGCAGTGCCAGGGCAGCAGCTCTAGGAGATTTATCTTGTGCTGTTTGGAAGTAGCAGCTGGATAAAACAAACCCTGTGGTGCTGTTGGGAGTGTAGGATGCTGTTTGTACGCTGAGCTTCCCCTGGTGTGAGCTGTGGTGCTGACTGAACCAGGCTATTGTGGTGCTGGTTTATGTTGGTTGGAGGTATGGCTCTATAGGTTTAAATTTCAGCTTCTCTGCTTTATTAATAAAAAAAATAAATGAGCAAACAGAAGTTTTATTTTGGAGTCTTCCCTTGCCTATCAGCCATTTTGAGTGTCTTCATCACCACATTGCCTTATTTCTCTAGGTTTTGGTTCTGGCTTCTGCAGTGAGCTCTCTGGCATTCCAAAATAAAGAAGTGAAGCCACTTGTGTTTGTTTTTTTGTAAAGCATCAGTGCTTCTTTTCTGGGCTTACCTAAGTTTTTAGCATGTATTTTCCAACAATTGCACTTGACCTCCTTTGCACTAGTGCTGCTACCTCCTTAATGTTTATGCTGAAGTTGACTTTCTCCTGAGTTGCAGTATGTGTTAATTGTTGCTTATTGTTTCCTTGGCTTGGTACCAAGTACCTGTCTAGAAGAGAGGAGGTACCTTTCCTAAATAAGTTAGAAAATACATTTACTTTTTTTATTAGCAGTTACTTTTAGTTCTGTGGTAGGTTTAGAATTGTTTGATGGCTTAAAAGGGACAGAGGCTTAAAAACCTCAATTTCTTTTGTTGGAAATTAAGGCATCTGATTTCTTTAGTCCTTTTGAAATCCCAACTTGAAAATCAGAGAGGTTCTGAGAAGTCTGACTTAATTCTTTCCTGACTAAATTCCTTACTGATGGTTTCAGCTGCCTTATGCATCGGTATTCTTGATGGTTCAGGCAATTTTGCCTTAATTTTTCTTTCCGAAGCCATTTCTTATCACAGCAGGCATAACTGCCTTTTAAGAACACATACCCCTTTTCATTGTCGGAGGCAGGGGAAGGAGTGAATTTCCAAAACCAAACCCTGCATGTTACATACTCTATTTATTCAGGGGGCAGAAAGTGATGAGAAGGAATGAATCTCTTCTGTTTGCATGCATATAGAAAAGCTGGCAGTGTTCCCCTTAGAGGAGAGCATGCCTGCCAAAATACTAAGCTTTACTAAGCAGAGATTATCCTTTGGGTGAGGAAGAGGTTAAATGTGCCTCTGTCACTTCTGAGAGTACTTGGTGGTTGCTTTTTGTTTCCTGGGATACAGTCAGCTGTTCCCCTTGGCTGTATTTGATAAAAAGACCTTTAAATACAGGCAAGAAACAAACTTAACCAGTCTTTGTACACTGTGGTCAATCCATTTAATTCAGGTTGAAAAGTGTTCACTGACCGGGTAATAGATCTTTGGAACTTGCTGGGGAAGGTTGCAAAAAAGTGAACTGCTTTCAGAGGAGGTAGGATGAGTAACTGGAAGAGTTTCATTGAAGACTGATGAATGGCAGAAACAATGCTTGGCTCAGGAAATCCACTTGGATAAAAATAGAAGCTGGGAGAGCATTCAGAGGGAGTGTGCTTGCCTGGTGTTGCCTCTTCCCCCGGCATCCATCTGTGGCCACTGTGGTTCTTCCTTCAGTTGTTTCACCAACTTATTTGCAGGGAGGTTACATCAGACTTTTGTCCCAGCAGCTTGAGCACCTTCTGGCTGCCAGGACTCAGCTGTTGCTGGTTAGTCTGTGTGGTGCTGCCAGCTGGTAGTGCCACTTCAAAACTTGTTTGCTAGAGGTTTTTGAGGTCTTCTACCTCCCACACAATACAGTCCTTCACAAGCATCTTTCATGCTTTGCTGTTTGTGCCAGTCTTCCTTCAAGTGCAGGGCTTGTCATCCACTTAGAAGTGGATGTCCAGCTTCTGGGCACTGAAGAAGACAAGGGTGTTGGGAGGCACTGCTGGTACTGAAGGGACTTATGCTCCCAATGATGTTCATTATGCTGCTGTTGGAGACCTTTCGTGACTCAGATCCCATGAACTTCATCAACACAGCCTGGGTTGCCTTCTTGCAGGTTTGAAATAATTTAATTTTTTTATGTTTCACTGTGCACTGTGTTGCTTCTGGAAGATTATTTAAAGGTTGGAGTTTGATCAGATGGTGTGAGCTGATCTGGCAGCTCGCTGTCACCTCACCAACAGCATGATTCCATGCCTACACCTGCCATCTTCCCCCTCTATTCAGATTTAGGGCTTCCTTAACTGTCTTTTGCAGTTAGTTTTTTGCTTGCTTAGTTTGCAGAATCAGAGTCTTAAATAATTCTTTAGGATATGAAATCACAACTTTTGGGTAACAGTGTCATCCTGTAAAAAACCCTTTCCCTGGCTCGTTCCAGCAGCCCACCTTTGGCTTCTGTAGTTCTTACCACTGATTACAAAGTTGATGTTTCCTGAAGTTCTGAGCAAGAATCAGCAGCTTGTGCAGCTGTATGTGTAGGTGTATGTATGTATATATAAGTCACACATGACTTATTTTCACACCTTTAAATGGTCAGAAGCAAAGGACTGTGAATTCCTCAGAGAAGTGTCTGGGAGCAGTGATAGCCCATGGTCCTGCTGGGTTCTAAACTCTGCCGTGGCAGGGATCTGCCTTCTTGCCAAGAGACTATCCCTACCTTCTATCAGGTTGTGAGGGAGCAATTCTGACCTCCTCCTGACTTTCTAATCTGGATAAAAGCAGGACAGCCTGGCATGCTGCACCTGAAAGGCTGCTAATCCACCATCTACCAACAAATTTGAATTATAGTTAAGAGTGTGTTAGACTTCTCTAAGGTTTGAGATGGAAGGGAAACTGCAGTCTGTTACTGTTTTTTAAAGGTTCCTTTCCCCAGCAAGAGATCCTCCAAAGTTGAAATTTACCTCAGGGCAAACAAGCAGAACGTTTGTTTTGTTTGAGAATCTTCCAAAATATTTGTCTCTTGCATCATTTTATAAGGGATCTGTGCTGAATCTGAGGAGAAAATGAGTGGGAGGAAGAGGGGAAAAAGGGAACCAAGGGGCTGTGATGTGACCTACCAAATCCTGGCTGCTGGGGCACTAAGTGGGATGAAAATTTAAGATGATTTTCCAGTTGTAAATTGGGAGTGACTTTTAAAAGCTGCTGGTGGGGTGCTTGGTTTGTTTTTTGTTTGTTTTTTATTAAATACATCTTGCTTTCATCCAGAAATCTCCTTTTTTTGTATTTTGGCTTTAATGTTGTTCTGTTTTACGTAGAGGAAATAGTGGCTTAATGTATATTTACTGATGTTTTGTGAAGCCTCACTGGTGAAACTGAAGAAATGGTAAATGTTTGTCAGAAACAGGTTACAGGGAACATATTTAATGTTCTTAGCAAAGATGATACTTGATATATTGCTTATTATTTTGTATAGGACATGATATTGTTACATTTTCAAGCTTTACTGTAGAACATTTGGAAAATATAAACTGCATTTTTACAGCTTGTAAGGTGTGCGTGTGTTTCTTTGTTTTAGGGCATAATTCAGAAGATTGTGGACAGTCACAAAGTGAAAAATGTGGCCTGCTATGGGTTGCGGCTCAGTCATCTGCAGTCTGAGGAGGTTCACTGGCTACACCTGGACATGGGGGTGTCCAATGTGAGAGAGAAATTTGAACTAGCTCACCCTCCAGAAGAATGGAAGTAAGAGCACAAATCTGTTGTCATAAAAAATTACTCTATAATTTGCATTATTAAGGAAGATCCGTACATGTGCGTGTGGGGAAAAACCCAAACCAACTAAAGAAATTTTTCTCAGAGAGCTGGAAGTGGTGTTTTGTTTGAGGTTTTCTTTGTTGTTGTAAGGGGTTTCCTGCAAACTGAGGAGAACAGATACAGGATTTAGAGGAGGCATAAAGTAGGAACAAAAATTTTCTAGTCGTTTGTCCTGAAAATCTGCAAAACTGCGGGTTTATCTAGTGAACTGACCCCATCTCAGGTATTGTCATTAAAATTTTAGAATAAGAACCCTATTCCTATCTGTGGTGTAAGCATAGCTTTGAAAATATAAAGGGATAAAACTTGTTACTGAGATGAAAAAAAATAAATGTTAAATACTGGTTGCATTTATATATAGTCTTCAGTGGGAAAAAAATAATTTGAAGAGTGAAATGCAGTGAAAAGATCAGTTTATCTCTCTGCAGTTGTAAAAGTATTTATTAGGTATTTAAAAGTATTTATTGAGGCCCAGAGTGATGAGTGACATCTGCCTCTCTTCTAACTGGGATCTTCTTCAATTATAGGAGGAACAGTGAACAACAGAAAAGCAACTGCAGAACTTGTTGGTTTTATTTCATAGCCTAATTCTTTTGCTAAGATATTTTCATGAACCCAGGTAGCTGATGAAAAGAAGTGTGATGACCTGTGCTCTGCTGAAGGTTGAGCAGAGTCAGGTGCATGCTCAGGAGGATGTAGGCTGGAGTGGAAGAAGGAAGAAATTGTCCACGTTCCTGGTGGAAAGACAAGAGGAAACTATAATTTGGGGAAAGACACAATAGTCTGTTAGGAAGATAGGGAGCATGGAGTTTTAAAAAACTGTTAAACCAAGTACAGTGCTAAACTCATGTGAGAACACCACAATTAGTGCAGAAGTTGCTAGTTATCTTAAAGGCTACACATCTTCTGTAAATAGTATATTTAATTTCTTGCAAATTGAGTTATATACTAGCAGATGTAACCGTTCACAATCTTCAGTTTATAAGCTCTCCTTAGGGGCCTGATTTTAACCAGTACAACAAATTCAAACAAATTAGGCGTGTTTAAAACTTAGGTTTCAGAAATGTTTCCTGTTCTTTTCTGTGCACGTTACATTTTAATGTTTCTGGGTTATTTTTCCTTTTTTACTTAGCAAGAAATTGCAGTTTAGGAAGTGGGGGATTCCTGAAATGTTTACATGACAGTGGTGCTGCCTGTAAGATGTGTTAATTTATGCTGTGGAAATTTGTTACTTAGTGCACAAGTGTCAGTTCCAATTTTATTCCACAGTGCAACCCAGATTGTACACGTTGCAGAACAAAGATAATCAGTTTTAAAAGCAAAATGAGGTGATTGTTTTGAAGCCTGTGGAAAGAAATTGTGTAAAATACTTGTGAAGGAGCTATGGCAAGATGTAAATTATTCAATACCTTTCCAGAGTGTCACTGAATGTTTTATCAAATACAGGCAGCCTGACATACCTTTTAAACCCCTGGAGATTTGCTGTGCATAATCAAAATGCTGCTGTCATATTTGTAATACCATAACACTGGGTGCTTAAGATCATATGACAGTACTTGTAAAAATATTTAGATTAGTAAATGGAGAGGAGTCTTGGAATGGTTCTTAAATTAAAAGCTTCCTATGGTGTTAATAGACTAGTAACTGCCTCTTGTGTGATTTCTTTCTTTAACCATCTAAATTAAAAGGACTGTATGTTCACAGTGTTCAGAAACTGGATCTCAAACATTTCCCTGGACTAATCCAGATACTGATTGTCAGTAGCTTGTACACAGACCAGAATAAAATCCATCTTCTGTATACACACCTTTTGTCTGGTGCTGTGCTGTTTATAATCCTGCAGAGGATGAGCCCAGTGAAGGGGAGAAATAGAGATACAGCTCTGCTTCAGATGGCACAGCTGTAGTTAGAGCTTAGAAAGGGTAAATAATAGTGGGCAACAAGGTCACCCAGACTTTTGTCACAATTTTCTTCCCTCTTCCTGTGTCAATGAGTTCAGTTGCAGGAGAAGACACAATTTAGCTTTCCCAAACTGCCAGTGGATCACCTCAATTATGTGGCAAAAGATGAAGAGGAAGTAATTGCTTACTGGAAGCCTTTTTTCCCCCCATCCTCGTGTTTGCTTTTAAAATCTACTTTGAGAACCTGCTTGCTAAGAAAAGGTTTGGGTTCTGGGCAATTTAAGAAAGGATGGAACTATCTTGTAGCTTTAAAAAAAATTTAAATCACTCAAGTATTAGTGCTTCCTTTTTTCTTACAAACAGGAAAGATTGGCCCTAAAATTCAGATAAAAAACTTCTGTTAACTGTGCCTGTGTCTTCACTGTACATTTACCTTAGGAATGTTCATCTTAATTAACTGTATCATACAAAATACCCTTTTCCCACCTTATTCTCTTCTTTAGCAAAGAAGATAATTCTGTCCAGCGTCTGAAAATTACAAATGTGTCTAAATCGTGGCACCAAAAATGATCAGAGTTACAATTATTGGAACTGCTTGCTTATTTGTTTGTAGTAGTTTGTTCTGGAAATAAGTGTTCTGGAGTCCGCTGTCGTTTATGTCACACTGGGTAATACTGTCTGATTTCTCTGAGTTATAAAAGATTTAGCACTACAGATGAGTTGTATAATTGGAGTGTAATTCCATGCAGTTGCTTTAGAATGACTTGTTTTCCAGATGCAGTCTGAAAGTTGTATTCATTACTGAACTCCAGTAACACTGCTGCTGTTAAGTTTATCTTAGTGTAGCATAAATTGTTCATTGTTCCTGAAGCATTTGCTTGTACAAAGGCCTTGGTACCTCTGCACATGAGCTGATCCCCAATGACAGATGAAATACAAACAAAATCCCTGTCCTGGTTTGAGCCAGGATGAAGCCAATTTTTCTTTTTACTGATTTTTTTTTTTTTCCTTCAGTAAGCTTTCTTGTAACTAGCAACAGTGTGTTCTGCTAGGCTGATAAGACAGTGGAATGTTTTTCTAACTACTGAGGCTTCAAGGCTGCACCTGCACTCTGCTGGCTCAGACACTATGGGGAGATCTGTGACCCCCCCGTAGGAGGCTGAGTTAGATGGACAGCAAAATTGGCCAAAGATATTCCATTCCATATATCTACGTAAGCTCAGAGGAAGGTCAGAGATCACAGAAGACAACTTCCTCCCTTCTTCTTCCCCCCTTCTCTTCCGTCCATGGCCGGCGTCCAGGGAGGACTCTGTCCATCCATCACCGTCGATCCTCAGGCT